TTTTAAATTCTTAACATTTGCTCTTTTAATTATTACGATTTTATTGAATGTTTTTATCAATGCATCACCAATTCTCTAAGAAAAACGTGAAAAAGACGGTGTTGCTTATGCAAGTTTTGATAACGGCGGTGATGTAAAAAAAATTTCTGGTTTAATTCGCTTTCCACAGATTTCAAAAGAAACTACAAGTATAGCTGGAATATTCAGCGCTGGTTTTATAAGTGAAAATAAAAATGATTATGGATTCGTGATTATTGATGCTTGTGATAATTTATTATTTGATACTGATGATATTAGGGATCAATTGTATATTAATCTTCCTGGAACCGGAGCATTCGAATTTGACAAAAAACTCCAAGTTAAATATTTAACGAATTCGTTTTTCATTGTAAAATTCAATAGCAAAGAAATTGGAAGAGCTCCAATCAAACGTGTATAATTAATACAATTAATTGTTATTATTTATTATGTATAATGTGATTTTGTGATGATTTTTTTAATGTATTAATATTATTAGTTCTCCTAATATATTAATGCTTTCTTGAGAATTAAATCATGTATTTTCTTTAAAACAATTTATTTTAATATTTTCGAATAAAACAGATACGTACATATTTTTAATAAGTGACAGTGGCTGTGTGTTGTAATTTTTATATTAATAATATGAAAATTTTGGCTGGGATGCAGTGGGCTTGATTTTCATTGTAAACTTAAAGGCCCAGAAATCAAAAGAGCTCAAATCAAAACTTGTATAATTAATTAAATTAAATTTTTATTAAGTGTAATGTGATTTTTGATGATTTTAATGTATTGATATTAATATTATTGATTCTTCTAATATATAATAATAATTCGCGTATTTTCTTTGTTTTTAATACTTGGTTGTGTGTTACAATTTTTAAAGCAATTTACTGCGACAAGCTTACAACTGAGGACGCAATGCAAGCTTTTGCTACGCGAGAACAAAAACACATTTATTTTAAGTTGGGTTTGGATTTCATCATCTTTGTCGCAAAAAGCAAAAAAATGACATTATTTCAGGCCAAGACAATAGTCTATTTTATTAAACTCATAACTAATAAATAGAATAGCTATTCCCTCATTTTTTTTTTTTTTTTTGAAAAACTTGAATATTTTCATGGAACAAAATCGGATCTTAAATATATAGTGGTTATCCCTCGCTTCTATAAAATGCATTATGGTTTTAAAAAATGCTTATTTCCAAAAAAAAATTTCTTGCTTATTAAACGCCCTATTTTATGAAAAATGTTTACAACAGCAAAGAAAATCTATGGGCCACTGTTCTCTGATAAGAATAGTGGGTTATTGTTTTTGTAATGGTAACGCTGTAATACTATATAGGCACTAATTGTACAATATTGATTTCCAATGAAATTGACATTATGAATGATCCTCTTGAAGAAACAATTACAAATGTCAAATCGATTAATTCTGAAATTGAAACCACAAATAATAATAATTCTCTTGAAGAAACTGAGATCTTTTTGATAGAGTGGATTCTTTTGATATATTCCTATAATATATTTTAAAATTTTCTATTTTTTTTTTTTATAGTCAAATAATAATGTACATATACCTACAAACAAAGAAATTGAAGACACAATAAATTATGGTGAAGTTAAGAATACTACTCACAATACAAGATTCTGGTTGAAAGTTCTAACATCTGTTAGAACAAAAATGGGATACAATTATGACATTAGTGAAATTGTTGTTATAAATCAGTTACAAGAAGAATTGATTCAATTTTTTTCAAGCATTAAACAAAAAAGACAAATCACCATATGCACCAACATCAATAAAAAATTGCTTTGCTGCTGCTATACATAAGTATTTACAGGAAAATTCAAAAATTTCTCCTGCTCTAGATCTTTATGATGAATGTATGTTTCCAAGACTTCACAAACATTTAGATGGCAAAATTAAAAAAATGCAAGATTTAAGCATAATAAAACAGAAAAAATCTGACTCACTCGAATATGATGAAATTTACCAAATTTTAACACATCCTGAGTTAAACAAAGGCACACCATTATCCACCACTTACAAAACCTATTTCTGGTTGTGTTTCTTGTGTGGTTTTTGTGGTGGAGATGCTCAAAGATTAAAATTGAGTACAAAAAATATTTGGAAGCTTCACGTAAATGGAAATTAGAATTGGCGCATAAAGAATATTTTGAAGAATCTCAAAGAAATAAACAAAAATTCAAAGAAAGGAGAAACACTCTGGATGATTTTAAGACAGCCACAAACAAATCAATGGATAAATCCAAATTGGATAAAAATATGCAACTCTTTAGGCAATTTGATTGGTCCAAATGTGATGTGGATTTTAAGGCATTACCAATATTACATTACAAAAAATACAAAGAAAAAGAAGATCAAATCTTTTTTGATGATAATAAAAGGCAAATCGCTTTAAATAGGAACAATTTCATCTCTGAACGTCTCCAAAAAAAATTACTATCACAAAAAAAAAAAACCTAAAAAATTAATTCAAAAATCAAATCAAAAAATTTAACATGTTTATTTTTTTTATAATAAAATAATAATGACAATTTGCTAGTATATAAATGCAATTCATCTGATCCTACATAATTAAAAATACATTATTTATTACCTTCACTTTCCTACATAAATATTTGATAACAATAGTATGTATGATATTATTAAAGCTTATATTTAAGAATAGGGTAGGATTAGACCTAAAAAGGCTATTAAGGACCCCAAATTTTGAAAAGACTGGTCCTTAAAAAAGGTAATAGTGTAACATATTAATATGCTATTTAAAAAATTCATGAATAATAAAGAATCCCTCCTTTATTAATTATGAATTTTTTGATACTACGATTTGCAAATTGTTTGTAGACAAGTTAAACAACAACAATAATAATGTAATAAATGTGGATGATTCAATTTCCAATATTTTTGAAAGCTTAGAATCATCATCAACCGATGATTTTATTTCTAACAATAATATAAATCGTGTATCTTTTTTAATATTTATTGAATGCGTATAAATGCAGATTTATCCATAAAAAGATTTTTTAACTATAGTGCAGGTCACTTAGTCGCTGAACTTTTTGT